TAATAATTAATGATTAATAATTATTATTATTTATAATTTAAAATACATACATGATTCAATTAAGATCAATAATAAATAAATATTTTTTTCTTTTTAATTTAAACACATCCTTAATTTGAAAACAATTAAGTACAGTTCAGATTCAACTTTTTCATTTCTTTAGTTTTCATCATTTTTGACTAACGAAAATAATTAATATTTATTTTATTTTAATTATACATGCGGTACTCTGATTGTGCTAGCAATATTAATAGTTATGGTTATAGACATTATTAAATTTGTTAAGGTTAGTTATTAAAATTATTATTATTAGAAATAATTAATATTTATTATTTAATAAATTAAAATTAATGCAAAAAATATTTTTTAAATATCATGATCAAATTTTTTTTAAAATTTTATAAATTGATAAAATTAATAAAATTATAATTAAAATTAGATTAGGACAATAATAATTAATTGATAATGTCACTTTTCCGTGATGTGAGGATGTGATGGTGACCGTCAGATTTAAATGCAGGTGGGGCCAAGATCGACTAGGGACAGAGAGAGGTTTCCTCCAAACAACGTCCTGCTGATGTTGGCGGGGGCGGGGCTGCTGTGGATGGGATGGGCCGGTTTCAACGGTGGAGACCCTTACACCGCCAACATTGACTCTTCCATGGCCGTCATCAACACCAACATCTGCGCCGCCACTAGCCTTCTCGTCTGGACTTGCCTCGACGTTATCTTCTTCAAGAAACCTTCCGTCATCGGTGCCGTTCAGGGCATGATTACTGGTCTCGTCTGCATCACTCCCGGGGCAGGTAATATCTACATATAATTTGCCACGGAACTGTAAATTGGTTCAACCAAAAAAGAAAAAATGAAAAAATCTTAATTTTTTGTTTATTTCCCAGTTGCAAGGATTCTTAATTTAGTCCCCTTTTTTTTTCGCAGGTCTTGTGCAGGGATGGGCTGCGATAGTTATGGGGATATTATCCGGCAGCGTTCCCTGGTTCACAATGATGATAGTCCACAAGAAATCTCCAATTCTTCAGAAGATTGACGATACACTGGGCGTCTTCCACACCCACGCAGTGGCCGGTCTTCTCGGTGGCATGCTCACAGGCCTCTTCGCGGAGCCCAAGCTGTGCGCTCTGTTTTTGCCCGTGACCAACTCGCGGGGAGGGGTTTACGGGGGCAGCGGAGGGATGCAGCTGCTGAAGCAACTAGCAGGTGGCGCATTCATCATCGGATGGAACTTGGTGGTGACGTCCATCATCTGCGTGGTGATCAACTTGGTGATACCGTTGCGGATGTCGGAGGAGCAGTTACTCATCGGAGACGACGCCGTGCACGGCGAGGAGGCTTACGCCTTGTGGGGTGATGGGGAAAAGTATGATTCCACCAAGCATGGATACTCGGATGATAACAACAATAACAAGACATCAACTGGAGCCACTCAGGTTGTGTAGACGGCCGGCCACCGGCATATCAAAAGTCATCTTCTTTGTGTGCATAATTGAATTTGAAAGCGATTGTATGTTCATCAAAGCTTTGGTTAATTAGTTACGTACA